ATATTAATGAAAAATATAACTTTCACTTTTGCCTTTTGATATATAAATTTCCTTTCTTTCTGTTATGATTATGTTTATTTATTTTTCATGTTTATTTACAAAAATGATATACAATGTCCTCCTTTTTTTTTCCTCAGAAAGCAAAATTTTTTTCATTTTTCCTCATTTATGTCATTCTCCATCGTTTTTGTTTCTTCAGCATCATTCATTCTTGTTATTCTACTCTGGATTATCTTTTCTGTTCTGAAATTTCACTTTATTTTACTTTTTTTTTTTTAAAAAAAAAGAGGATACAAATGTATAATTTAGAAAAGAATTACTTAGTTTAAATTACATAAATTATTTTTTTCGAATAACTCTCTGCAATTAGTTATAAACAGAATTCAAATTTTAAAATTAATTTACATAAAAATATGTAAATTAAAATTCGATCCAATTATAAAAACATAGATAGAGTGGTACATTGAAAGTAAAACTGCTTAATTTCATTATCTTGTAGAAGCCTGTAATAAATTATGGTTAGAATTAACCTTTAGAACAGACCGAAATTTCGTTAGTTTCGAGAATTGACTGGTTGGTTCAATCGAATTCCACGAATCAAATTCCTCGGGTCAATCGAATCACTTTCGATCAGGCTATAAATTTACAAAACAGAGACGTAGCACGTAACCACATTTTTTTTTTTAAGAAAAGTTTTTACACATAAAGTTATGTGAAGATAATATTTGAAAACTTTACTTCAGGCATTTTACATTTGTCACAGGATATCAATTGTCTCGAAGCAAATTCCGAAATGTCACTAAAAGAAAAGTCAAACGAGAATTTTTATAACTTCCTTCCTTTAGAATATCGATGATTCTTTTATAAGATAAAGCTTCTTTTTTAATATTATTTATATTGTTTTAATTATCAATCAAATTAATATCTTAATTGTAATGACTTGAATGATCTGTTTAACATTAAGATAATTGAACAATTATTATAAAAACCTTTACAGCTTACATTACCTATTAATAATATAAAAGGAAAGCCGAAGATATTGCTCTTAATCGATTTTTCTTCTATTTATTTTTGCACGATTACAGAAACCATTATTGGAGAATAAACTTGATCCTTTTAGAAAATATTTGGTTCTATTCTTCTTCTTCTTCTTCTTTTTTTATTTTTTAATTTGAAAACAGGTTTTTAGAAAGATTTAATTATTATTATTTTCCTATTAAAGATAACTAATTTTAATCTAGATCAATAGAGATATGAAAAAATCAATAATTAAAATGACTCGAATATATATATTTATTTTGTTAAACATCAGATGCAACCTTTCGAAACCAAGTGAAGAAGAAGAAGAAGAAGAAGAGGAATCTTTATCTGAAAGAGGGATAAATACAGAGAAATGAGGCACAGAGGCGTGAGAAACATTGATTTATAGGCCCACATCTTCCGGGTCTATGTGCACAGACACGTTTTGAAAGACTTTTACAGGAGTAAATGTTCTATTCGTGCATTAGATTCGATTGGAAGTTTATTCAAAACACGAATAAAAACAATAATAATAATAATTCAACTATTTAAAAATTGTATCTATAGCTTTTCTGGATTTAATCTTCTAACTTCCACTTTGAGAAAAGTAGCAAAAATAAGAGAATTTTCTATTAAAGTCACTACAACTTACTTCGCTAGACAAGTATTAAGCAGTGTTAGTGCTTTCAGTAAGCAACGTAGTCATCTTCTGTAAGGAAGATTATCTTAATCCTGTTGTAACATAGGCCTTCAGACCTTATCAAATATCAAAGGTGACTCTCTATACTAACATCTCTTCCCAAATCGGCTTACTCTCTTCATGATTTTATTTATAAAGAAAGAATTGCCTTCAACTCTCTTTTTATCTACTTATAAAGTTTATAGAATAAATATTACAGAAATACTCTTAAATAATTGCTAAATTAATATAGAAAAACTAAAATATGTTATAATCGCATTAGAATGTATTTTATATTATATTAAAATCGATATGTATACTGCTAAGGCTTATTTTTAATGTGGCGCCATCTGGAAGCGTAATAAAAAAGTAATTAGTTTATTTTATTTTATTTTTAAATAATTTAAAAATACCAATAAAATTATATCTTTTGTATAGAATTAAATATTAAGTTGTTATATAAATTGCTTTAAAAAAAAAAAGTTAGAAAAGAATGAGAACAATAAATAATATACTTTTAAACATATGTACAAAATTAAAGCTACTTTAATATCAGAGAATATGGATTAAAGGAAATGCATGTAAACCTTTATTTTTAAAAAATTTCTCTTTAATATTAAATTTTTTTTCTAAATATATAATAAATATTTCATCAATAAATAATATAAAACATTAAAAAAATTATCCTAATACATTTTAATGGATATTTTT